CCTGAAAAGATAATGCCCATTGCACATCTGTTGGATTCTATTTCCTCATAATTATATTTTTGGAGATGTGATTTTTTAAAAATAAAAATGCTTAGCAAATGCTGGCACGACACGCTTTGAGAATCTTTGATCAAGATTATTTCCATTTGGTCTCTTACTGGGGATGTTCAAGGGCAAAGTCAAGGCATTCTTGGATGCTAGACTAAACAACTGGCATCTATAATGCATATTTTCCTACGTTTTTGTTGTTGCATAATTCACTCAATCTTGGAGATATTTTCCCCCTTCAGTTTTTGTTGTATGCAATTATAGCATATAAAACTGCACCATCAAATTGGTATCTGCTACAACAAGCAGCACAAAGTCTTAGTGTCATATTTAAATCTTTTTTTAAAAGGAGGGAAAAAAGCTTTGCAGGAATTTTGATACTATAAGCTACACCTCCTTTCCCAGCATGTTTGGCCACGCCAGGAAGTGGCATATTTCAATGCACACATTGTATTCAGAAAGCAATTTAAATGTTCTTAGGAGAAGGGCTCATATTCCTGTAATAAATGTGTGTGCACTAGCAAGGACAAAAGGTGTGTGTGTGTGTGAGGTGGGGGTCTTGTACAAACAGATGCCATATTTGATGCATTCATTAACTTTCTGTCACCTAACAGCTTGCTGCATTCAGGATTTGATCTTACCTGACCTTATATACTCACACAAGCACCAAAATCAATATTTGATATTGCTTCCAATCCCCTTTCTCAATTTCCGGAACTTCAGTACATTTTGGAAGTTTACAACCCTGACTGACTCCAACCACAAACAGCCAAGCACTAGGTCCACAGTCCACTGGCAAGTTCTCCTGCACAAACACCACCACAACCAGTGAGGAGATGCACATTTTATTTTATTTAATTGGGCAAGAAAACTTCTCAGCTGCCCTAAAGTAATTTGAAGAGGCTCCCCTACACGCAGGATTTATTCTTATTCTTCTTATTATTATTTGTACCCCACCCATCTGACTGGGTTGCCCCAGCCACTTTGAGCAGCTTCCAGCATATACAGAAACATAATAAAACACCCAGCAATAAAATGTTCCCTATACATGTCTTCTAAAGGTTGTTTATCTCCTTGACATCTGATGGGAGGGTGTGTGCCACTACCGAAAAAACCATCTGCCTGGTTCCCTGCAACCTCACTTTTCGCAGTGAGGGAACTGCCAGAAGGCCCTCAGAACTAGATCTTAGTGTCTGGGCTGAATGATGGGGGTGGAGATGCACCTTCGGGTCTACAGGGCTGAGATCAGCAGCAACACTTTGGCAGGGACGCAGACTTATAAAAAATATTGGGGGGGCCCGGGAAAGCTCATGAATAATAAATAAGCTCATGAATATGCAAATAAAGTGGCGCCGCCTCCTCGTGAGCGAATAGGGGAGAGCGTGCTGCGCCTATTAATCAGCTCCAAAGGAAATTGGGTGGAGCTTTTGCTCGGGAGGGAGGGCAGGAGGCATGCAGCCCGCCCCTCCCTGTGCATTTTGGGCTGGGGGAGGGGCGGCGATGGCGCTCTGCTGGAGGGGCGCCGGAGATTATTGGGGGGGCGGAGCCCCCCCCAAACGAATTTTTGAGGGGGCTCGGGCCCCCTCAAGCCCCATGGAGTCGGCGCCTATGCACTTTGGAGGATGCTATGGAATCAGATGTAGGTTGCCTCTAGTCTAGCCTATAAGAACTTTTGCAAGATGGATTTACTCACACACTGGAAATTTAGGTCTGGGCAATTAAAGTGAAGTGAAGTACTTTGTCACAACATATCCACTTAAAAGAAAACGCAGTGGGCCTTTTGCAGTTAGGAAGGTGACATGGAAATGTACAGGCAACATGGGATGAATGACCGATTGACAGGAAGACACAAACAAATCCGAACAAATGCTCAACGAAGAATGAACACTGTCGAACCTCTGTGTGAGCTTTGTACAAGCAAATCAGGACGAGTACTACAGATAACTCTAGGTATAAGAAAGATCCTGGGGCCTAGCTGCTTCACGCACTGCTGGGGTATCAAAACTGTTCAGGTACTTCCATAAAATACTGAAACCTTGAATTTGTAGATGCAGAAGAACCCTTCTGATCTACCCTAACAACTAAGAAAACCCAAAGGCTTCTCTCTCCCTTTCTCCACTCTGAAACTCAAAGCATGAAGCCCACCCTCATCAGAGTGGCCACTTTTTCTTTAGTCAAGTTTCTTCTTCTTTATTTATGTTAATGCTTTCAAAGCAGCAAAAGCAAATCTGGGAAGAAAAGGGATGAAAACTCAAGCGCCGTCTTCATTTTTAACATTCATTTAGCATTCTGCCATGTGAAACCACACCAAACCCTTAATGTCCCATTCTTCATTATTAGCCTGGGTGAAGGGAAGCACTGGCTGCAAACCCCCCCCCCCACATGCACACACACAATGTGAGCTGAAGGCCCTTTCCAGAGAGTCGCTACTTTTGGGGTGGGACTTAGCCACATACTGGCAAATTCAGCACGTGAATTATAATTGATTGGGAGGCTGTGCACAACATATCCACTTCTTGCCCCCAAGCTGGACTTTTTGTGATAAGAAAAGTGATGGGGAAATGCACTGGAAATTTGGCACAGTGGCACGTAGCTTTCCCACAAATGTGGTGCAAAATCAGGATGAATGCTTGACAAATAGGTCATCTGGAAGTCTCCCTAACTCTGATCATGGGAGAGAAGTGCTGATAACATTACAGCATTTCCACAACACCTCCAGAAAAATTAAGAGGCATTAAGAATTGGCAATAGAGAATGGCACAATTATTAACCGATACCAATAGTCTCATGGCACCTTAAAGACAAACTGATTTGTTGTGGCATAAGCCCTCTGTGGACACCTGGCAGCCCCTCTGTATTACCCCACCTCAATGTTATTCCAGAGGGTCCCCTCCCCAGGCTTCCTGAGCAGATTTCCAGGGAGCACAGGAAGCTACAGGGCAAGTTGCTGAAAACTGCTTCTGGGAGAGCAGGATCTTAGGATCTTAGCCTTAGTCTTTCAAGGTGCCACAAGATTCTGTTGTTGTTTCTACTGCAGCAGATTGGCACAGTTGGCTCTCTAGAAATTCGAAACCAGATGCACACTGACCGAGAATAGCGACCATATGCAAGGTCAGATCTTTTTAAATATTTTTTGTGTGCAAGGCTGGAATTAGCATGGAAGACATCTCTGCCCACAGGTTGCAATCCTAAGCATTGGGAGTTGGTCTCACTGGATCCAGTAGGGCTTACTTCTGAGCAAATGGGACTCAGTAAAGTGCATCAGAACCAACCCCAATGCATGACCCGATAACTCTTACTAAGATGCATTCACATTCATCCTTCAATCAGCTGTAGTTTCCTCCAGCAGTAATTTACACAGTACAGTGGATGCTCGGGTTGCAAACGTGATCTGTGTGGGATGCACATTTGCAACCCGCAGCGCTCGCAACCCGCATCTGCGCATGCACAGGTTGCGATTTGGCATTTCTGCACATGCACAAAGTGCAATTTAGCGCTTCTGTGCATGCGCGACTGCCTTAACCTGGAAGTAACCCATTCCAGTACTTCCGGGTTTCGGCGGTCCGCAACCTCAAAAGACGCAACCTGAAGCGGCTGTAACCCGAGGTATGACTGTAAAGCATTTACTACCTACTGCTTTGGTAGCATGGAGGAGACAGAAGAGGAGTACTTTGCAGATGATGTTTCTGCTGAACTTGAATTACTAGGGTTTAAGATGTGTGAACGGAGCAAGGTCTCTCTGTTGGCTGTAAACAAGAAATGCATGCAGGTGGCTGGAACAGAAGCTGAAACAGAAGCTCCAGGGCCAGCGTGGGCTTGCAGAAGAGGGACAACAGAGATCCAACAGGCTAGTAACATCATCATCATCATCATTATTTATTATTTATCTGGCTGAGTTTCCCCAGCCACTCTGGGCGGCTCCCAATCAAGTGTTAAAAACAATACTCTTTTTTTGCAGGCTAGTAACTTTTGCAGTTCAAGGGTCTGAAGAGATAACACACCCCACCCAATACTTGCTTATCAGTGGGCCAACAGAACAAACGTGCCCAAGACTGTACATACCATGCATTTAAGACACCCCTCAAGAATCCTGGGAACTGTAATTTGTTAAGGGTGCTAGGCTACATGAAGGGTAAACTATAGTTCCCAGTTCTTGGGTGTGGGTGTGCTTTAAATGTAGGGTGTGCATGCAGCCTTGGCCACATGTGATGTTAACAGCATGATCCCATTTACTCGGAAGCAAGTCCCATTAAGTTCAATGAGACAGTCCTGGCAGTCTTAATCAGAAGATTATCAAAGAGCAGTACTTTTTTTATGGGGGGGGCATACCCCTAAACATTTTGTGAATCTAAGTTTGGCCTCATTGAGGGGTAGTATTTCAATATAAGTAGGAAAATGAGAGTACCCCTAAACATTTTTTAAAAGAAAAAAATCACTGCCAGAAATCATATCTGTCAGAAATCATATCTACGCACACACACACATCAGAAAGCGGAGTAAGCCGGGATGCTCACCTCTCATTCAGGTTTTCAAGACATCCTTATGCATACTATACTAAATCTCCATGGGGCGTGGGGCGGTCAGGGAAATGGGAGCTCCCCTGGGGTGGGAAACGATAAAGTACCCATGCCTTTGTAACAGAGGGAAGGGTGGGGACGGCAACCGTGAACTACTAACCCCGAGGACACCACCTTTCGGAGCCTATTTCTACACTGCGATACTAAACAAACACAACTCGGAGGCGGCGGGGCTGAACGGGGCAAGGGAGACAGGCGAGCAAATGCAGCCGAGGTGGTCAAGAGGAAATTGGCCGTGCCCTTGGCGCGCGCACTTATCCACCCCACCCCCTTAAAAACAAACTGTGTTTTCAGAGAATCGTGGATTGGGTATTTGGCCTGTGGGCTTCGGAAAGGCCAAGGAGGAGAGACCCTACTTTGAGGCCTGCCTCTTACCAGAGAGAGAGGGGCGCGCAGGCAGACGCCTTTTGGGGCGGCCCGGAGCCTCCCCGGGACTCCGCGCCCTTCCTTGCCGAGTCCCGGGAGCGCAAGCCCGCTCCCCTCTGCAGACGGCGATCCAGTTCCGTGTCCTCTCCCTCCCCGCCCGAGTTCCTCCTTGACACCTGCGACCAGCAAATGGCATTCAGCCGGAGTCGCGCTGCGCTCTCGGTGCGCTCTCGGCTCCCCAGCCGCCTCGCCACCTGGGGCTGTTTACTCACCGCTCCTCGGGCCCCGGGCAGCGAGCAAGAGCACGCAGGCTGGTTTATGGGCGCTCGGAGCGTAATGGAGTAAGCGCGGGACTCCGCCTCTTCCCTCCCTCCCTCGCCCGCCCGCTTCCCTCCAGCCTCCCTCCCTTCCCCGCCTTTGCTTCGCGTGAGGAGTCGACCTGCCTCGCCTCTCCTTATCCAGGCCAGGCTGTGGCGCGTTGTGGCTTTGGGCATCTCTCTGTGCAGACATATCGTGCCAGACCCACCCACCCAGATGCAGCCCTAGCTTGGTCGGTGGTGACCGCAGCAACAAGCCACAAGGCTCCGCTGGCAGGAGCAGTCCTCTAGCAAGAAAGCTTCCTAAAGCCATATAGGATCAGGGCAACGTGGGGTAGCTTTAGCAGGTCCCAGGCACTGCCCCAGGTGGATTTGGGGTACATGGAGGCACGCACCGTTTGTGACATTGCACAACATCTTTGTGGACCACAGGTGGCTCTCCTGTTGAAGCATTTGCCTTAGCTTCCAGTTTCCTAGGTTTGGGACAACATAAGAGGCCCTTAAGGGACGTAGGTGGCACTGTGGTCTAAACCACTGAGCCTCTTGGGCTTGCTCTGTCCCAGCTTCTGTCAACCTAGCAGTTTGAAAGCATGCCAAAAAGTGCAAATAGATAAATAGGTACTGCTCCAGTGGGAAGGTAAACGGCGTTTCCATGCGTTGCTCTGGTTTCGGTGTTCCGTTGTGCCAGAAGCGGCTTAGTCCTGCTGGCCACATGACCCGGAAAAACTGCCTGTATGTGACTGGACTTAACTGTCAGGGGTGCTTTACCTTTACCTTTAAGAGGGCCTTAGTTTTGGTCGATGTTGGCATCAACAATGGGGTGTGCCTCTGGGGGTGAAGTCAAACGGCTGTGTTAGTAGCACTGAAGTGCCATTCCCAGGGCGCAAGCCTGGGCAGTGTGTGTGTGTGTGTAGGTCCTGGGCTGCCCATTTGACAAGAGGCCTCGCTGATGTGACCCTAAGAAAAGCAAAACAATACATTTGGCATCAGCTTGGCTGCAAAGTGGCAGTGGTTTTTCCTTGATCAAGGAATAATTCCAGTACCATTTGGTGATATATTTAGCACAGCTATTTTTCCTGTTTACTACATGCAGAGAGTTTTGCTTTGGAAACAAAAAATGTTGAGGCATTGTTCTCAGCACCACAAGGTGAGTTAGCGGCTAAATAAAGTTGATTTGTCATAAGGCCCGAGAGCCTGCACAGAGCAGCAATCAAACCTTTTCAGCTGTCCAAGAGTTGGTCTCTTAAAGGGGCCATGTGCCAGGTATTTTTACAATTGATATGAGACCGTGTGTTTTGCTTTATTGAAGGGCTGTCTGGTCCAAGCCAGGATAAAGCTGCTAAACCAAAAGAAGTAAGAACAGGAGCTAAGGGCATAAGAAGAGCTTAGTGAATCAGGCCAATGGCCCATCTGGCCCAGCATCCTATTATTACAGTGGCTGAACAGTTGCCTGGGGATTCGAGCACAAGAGCACTCTCCCCTCCTGGGATTCAGAGGTATTGCTGCCTCCATCTGTGGAGTTGCTGGACAGCTGACCAATCAAGTCGCTTCTTCACAGTCTTCTTCCCTATGGGGAACTGTATTTTATTTCTATTTAGACTGTAGTCATTGTTTCTAAATGTATCAATTAGTATGTGCAAATTTTATGCAAATCTGTCTCGGCAAGTGCAAATTTTATGCAAAGCCTTTTGTCCTCTTTTTCTGGTGATGCATAATTGGCTGCCCTAAATGTGGAGTATTTAAAAATATGTCCAGCATTCTACCACCTCCTGTGTAAAATGTAGAACTGTTCTCTACAAAGTCAAGAAAAAACACTGTCAAACATTTACGGACGCTCACTGCAAAGTGGTGAAAGACTTGGTTTTGTACTTGTGTGCAAGCAATGCATTAAAATCTCCAAAGGCACTTGATCTGTACATACAGCAGAATGAGGTGGCAGAGATATGAGGTGACAGAATGGGGGGGTGTTACTTCAGGTTTCAGGCTAGAGATCATAATTGTGAATGCATTCATTTTGGTGAAATTTCCCTGCAAGTAAGAAAGCTAGAACATCAGGGAGAGAACCTTTCTCCTTGATGTGCTAGCTTTTAAATTATATATATATATATATATATATATATATATATATATATATATATGCTTTCGTAGATTTTCACGGGTACAGGAATGCAGGTTTTGGTGTCCTCGGGTGTCTTCCCGTGTAAAAGTTGGGGTGTCTAGGCGACGTTTCGACGAGGTCTCACTCGTCATCTTCAGGCTGGTGCTTTCGGCTTCTTGTTCCAGTAACAAGAAGCCGAAAGCACCAGCCTGAAGATGACGAGTGAGACCTCGTCGAAACGTCGCCTAGACACCCCAACTTTTACACGGGAAGACACCCGAGGACACCAAAACCTGCATATATATATATATATATATATATATATATATATATATATATATCTCCCCAAGGGATATTTACATAGGAGAGTATTAAAAAAAATGTGATTACTCCCGCTTCATCTGTGGTCTGACATGGTACAGTACAGTCTTTTCTAAGCCCAAAGCTGAAAGTATTTTAGAGGCAAAGGAGTGGGGAGCTGATTATATGTGAAATCCAGTTTGAATAAACCCACAGAGATGAAATAATGACAGGTGGATTATCGCGCCATCAGCATGCTGGAACAAGACAGCTCCAGTTTCTGCTCCGAGACAGGAGTCCGACACAGACCTTAATTTTCTATTAGTGAGCACATTTTACAGCTGCAAAGATGTGGCCTCTTCCTTTTCTTTAGGAGAAAGTGTGGGGTTTTTGTTTATAACTTCTCTGCGTGCTATCAATAGCCAAGCCCAGAGATGCCAAAGGGTGTAAAGGAGATAATAGAATTTACCCTGGCTAGACAGGGAGAAAAGCTGATGTGTTGAAAACAATGCAGCTAACTTGGCCCCTCGCAGCTCTGTTCCATTAGCCTCCAAACGCACGCTAGGAGCGCCTGCGGAAAGCAGCGAAAGGCAATGTTATACTTCAGGAAAGGAGATTGTATTTAACCCCTACTGTGAATAAAGGACGATTTTAGGAATAAAATCACCAGGCAGCTAGTGATGAACGGATCTGATTACAAACAGTCGGCAGCATTTGATTTAAAACTAGAAAGTAGGGCGATGGTCATATTCTTTTGTTCGCATATCTCCCCGGCTGTGTCTCCCTCTCCAGCTTCTTTGCAGCTGAGCTCCTTCTACCTGGAACACTCCCCATGTGGCCTGAGGCAATAGATTCAGAAGAAGGGTGGTGGTAGACAAGTTATGAGGCCCTCAACAGTCTCCACTATAGGTGGTGGTGGGGTTGGCTAGCTGAGGACAGCTGAGTTTCCAGAAGCGCATATTTGGGCTGTTGCTGCAGTAACCGCTGTAGTTTCCTGAGGCATTCTGGGATGGATTCCCAGCACACATTCCTGTTGAAGCTGCTACAGATCCCAAGGCATCTGGGGAACTGGAGTGATGCAAGATGTTAAAGGGGTAAAGGAGGGGGTAGTTAAATGATTTGATAACTTTGTAAGTTTGACCCAGGCCTGAATGTGGAAAATGTGGAACACGGTGGGAGGAGGGCGACAAATTAAGTCAGTGTGGAACAACAACAGAAGACCCATAATGGTGTCTGGATCTGTCATTTGATTCCTTATACTGTATACATGGGTATAATGGGGGGGGGGCAGGGGAGGCAGCTGTGCCCCCTAGATCTGCAAATATTATTGAAATATTTGAAATATTTCCTCTAAAAAGCTCAACATCTCAATTTCCTTAAAAAAAACTCAACAACTTTGGCTGCCCCCCCAACAAAAATCCTGGCTACACCCATGCTTATATAATTTTAGTAAAATAAATAAATAAATAAATAAATAAAAACCTTAATACAATTAAGAACAGAGGGCCAAGTTACTCAAGTGCTTCTTTATTGTTCATTGAGTTACTCATCACTTTTGTCAGCATAACTCCTTCCTTCCCATTGCTAAATGAAAATATATACTGTAGCTACATAGAAAAGATAGAAGAAGCATTTTTCTTCCTCTGTGGTTTCTGTTTCCACCCCCTCCCTGCTTCAGGCAGCTTCCTTCCTTACTCCACCGGTTGAGATTTTAAAGAATTCAGATTTAACTTGTGTGCATTCAGCTGCAGGCATGTAGCAAAATAAATAAATAAATAAAAATTAAAAAGGGGGCAGAAAAGAGGTGGAGTTGCAGGAAAAATACTTTGGCAATCCCACCCACCATTGCACCCAGTGCGTTTTGACTATATGTGATTTTGGCTTTAGGCATGTTCAGGGTTAGAAACACAGATATATAAGCTAATTGCCAAATGGCACCTTAAATCTAGGTTGCAGTCAGTGCAAAGGTAAATTTAGGCATCTCACCCTTGATTATGTGTTGGGGTTGTTGTTATTCATTTCCTTTCTATACCGCTTTATATTTTAAAGAAAAAAATCTCAAAGCAGTTGACAACACATTAAAACATCAGATGAAACAATCCAGAATAAAACAAATTCAAGCTTCAGGGAAAATATTTCAGAGCCTTACCTAAGTGACATTTTGCTTTCCCCATATTGATTGACCTTCTTAGTTTATACAGCTGCTCCATAGCAGAAGTACCCTAGGAAGGCAGGGTGGTATAGTGGTTAGAGTGTCGGACTAGGACTTGGGAGATCAGGGTTCAAATCCCCACTCATTCATGAAGCTCTCAGCCCCAGCCTCTTAACCTATATCACAGGGTCGTTGTAGGGATTAATTGGTGGGGGAGGGGTTGTGAACAATGTACTTCTTGGAGGAAAAGGTGGGAGAAACCTGCAATAAATAAGCTCTTCTGCTTAGCTGCTTAAGAGAGCTGGAGGGGCCAGCCTGATGGAGATGTCAGTTGCTAACCTGGCATCCAGAGATGGTCACAATCGGACCTGTGCCAGTTGCAAAACGCACCTGGCCCC